ATAGACTAATTTATGGATCGAGTGATTTTGTTAGTCTTGTATTGCAACGAAAGTTGCGGACGATCTGGGAAAATGCACTGCTAGACTTTTTAGTTTCTGAGAGTTTACTGACCAAGGAAATTTGACTGCTTGCTAAACAGTGAATTTATGTTAACTATCAGCGTTGAATGTATAATAAATTAAATTTCAATAAAGCACTTTTCTGATTTTAGTACAGTGGACTCTAACTATATTGCCACTAAACATATGGCCACGCGAGGCACATCCCCCTCACACGTACTTTCGACCACACAAATTCGCTCTCCCACTACGTTACGTACGCTGGCGCACCAGCACGAACCAACTTTTGCGCAGGCGCTGAGGCCGAGGCTATGATGATAAAACTGAGCATGGAGGGGGTCTGAACTCATTGCTACTTTACTCCTCTACAGCCCCGACCATGGCAATATAGTGAGAGTCCACTGTAATTTTAAAATAACAAACTTCAATTCCGTCATTTTGACAGGTTTGATAGTTCTAGTATTAAAAACCAAGTCAACCATTTTATTTTCAACGTTAACTTCCAAAAGAAGCCCAAACTAATCCCTCAACGAAAAATACAATTAAAAACTACGTTCCCAAGTCACTGACTTTTGACAGGTTATACAAAGATTTTTTTCCAGGCCGCAATTTTAAGTACAATAATCAAACAGAAATAGCCTCCGCGACAATAGACCCGGGATGCATCTTAATCAAATTCTTACTTATCAGCCCGGGCCGGACATAATGGAATACTGTCATCACAGGGGTAACAGGAAGTCGATCGACATTAGAGCGGCCGTATAAACGTCTCTGTCGCGATAAATGGTCCTGGAAACGGCAGGACTGACGTCTCCGCTAGCTGCGCCGACGTGGTCTCTGCCTGAGAAACGTCGGCTCCGGAGTTTACCCGGACAGTTGTGACAAACGAAACAGCCAAATATTCAATTTGCGCGCCCGCAACGGGACGCGGGAACCGGGGAGAATAGTTAACGTCAGACAGGCCTCTCCCCCTCAACGACAGACTTATCGGGGACATGGACAACGTCTGACGAACGGGGATATTAACGCGCGCGTTCCGAACGGCGGAAAGCCTCGAACGTTTCCGCGATCGGAACCAGACGTTTTATCTATCGCCTGTCAATTAACCGTTTCCCGATCCCCGGCTAATTATTCCGACCAGAAACGCGGTCGAGGATTGTTCACGAGAATTCTCTAAATATACAGGGTATAATAAAAGTCTTGTAGGTACTTGAGATGGGTCATTCGTGAGGTGATTTGGAACAAACTTTTCCTTAGTAAAAATGTTATCCGAGGATATGTTAACGAGATATTAACGAAGAACCCCAGCCAATCAGAGCGCAAGTCCTAGCTTCCACAGTAGCGTTGGCTATGCTCTGCGATTGGTAGCTCGACCATAGGTAAATCTATAGACTATATGTAAATTTATTAGCTCTTAATTTGCTTACTGAAGAGTAAAATCTCAAAATACAATTGTAATAATGTATTCTTGAATAAACGAGACGATTTAATAGAGCTCAATTTAATGGTCGGAGTATTTTAAAAAGGGATTCGAAGTGAAAGTAATAAGACCCGAAGTATCGGAGCTAGAAGGTTTTAACATTTTTTCAGACAATACTGGCGAAACGAAATTCACTTACCTTGATACCCGTGGGGAGCGTCATCGAAAGTTATCACGAGGGGGATAATTAATGAAGGATGAGACGCGGTCTCAGGACGAAGCTCGAACTTTAGCTGTCGCGGACGACCCAATTTCACCTTCGGACAATTTGTCAATGTAGTCGGATTTTTCGATCACGCTCGGCCAATCTCTCTCTCGTCCCCGCGGGCTTCGATCTCGCTGGAAGGAACTTCGGGGGTCATCTGTTTCTTCGAATAATTATTTGGACGTCGCTCGAGTCCGACGAACCCAAGAATCTGCGATCTATCGATCGTCCAAAAAAATACATTTTTGTGTGTGTTTCAATTTTTATTTCAATTGTCGGGCGAACACAATGTAAACAATTTTTCATGAAATAGAATTTTTAATATTTAGACTACATTTTGCAATTTCTGTAATTTTTAAGGGATCCCAAATTTTTGCCAAAACTATAGAAAATGAAGTCGAACGATTTAGCCATTGCATAAAATTGATGTGAAGCTAAATAATGAAGAAAGTAATGTAAAACTAAAATTCGTTAAACATTGCAAATCTGAACAATGTTCTAATGATCTTTTTCATAATTCCGTTCACTGTGGAAAAGATAGTCGCTATACTTTCAGCAGACTGATGAAAACTGAACGGTAAAATTTGCTTGATAGTAAAATTTTTAAAGAATCAAATTGCAGTTAATTATTTCTACAATAAATTTCGAATCTCGTCTGAACACAAGAATAATCATTCGAAGACACAGATTCTGTCGGAACACACCATGAAAGAACAGAATGTACACCGTTGTTGTACAATATAACGTTGCGTTTATTATTATCGTTACTCATTAACCACAATTGTTAAACGTTCACTTTCGTATGATACAACGTTAGTCTCTATACACACTCTGCTCGTTTCTTCCTAAATGTACTCTTAATCTGCTTACGCCTATTCGGTAGTAGTTCCTTTACGGTTCTTTTAGTGTCTGTGTTTATATACAAAAGCGCTGGATTATTCGTCCATCGGCTAAGCTACGAACAACCCAATATTTCAGCGTTCGGTTGGTCTAGCACACGATTTTTATTCTATTCCGTTTCCTCGAACCTTCTTCCTTGCCAGCTCTCTCCATTTCATCCCCTAAACAACGAGCCGTTTCACGTCGAATCGCTCGTTCCGCCTAGGGAATCGTTCACGGAATTCGATCGTCTCTTTCGCCGCCATTTATCATTCGACCAAACGAGCCTCTTCTTGTCGTTATTTCAGTTCGTTCCCGTTTACGTATATTGGCTAGAAAATAATTGACAAATATCTGTCAAGAAATTCGACAATTTTTGTCCCCTCGTTCACGACGCCCCTCGGAGGAACACCCGGAGCGGATTGTGTGATACTTGTGGAAGCGGAACGAGCGTGATTTTCTGCTGGCAATGGGCACTCGGTTCCTTTCGTCATGGGATACAACGTGTGTTTGCTTAACACGTTCGCTACCGCCATATTGTTTCGAAAACGTTCGTTACAAACCAGTTTAGTTCTCCGTTCACTTTAGATCTCCATCATTCTTTTCAGTGGAATAATCTTCCCTTCTTTATTATATGTCAAAAAGATATAACGTAGAGATAATTAATAATATAGAATGTTGGGGAATGTTGCAAAACACGGTTTGCTTTTTGCCAAATAATGTATGGTGACTTAGAAATTGGAATATCACACATTTGTGACGTTTGGTAGCAAACGTGTTAATGTACACGATTGGATTCGTGAGTTTTGACTGATCATATGGTGCAAAACAAACTGAAAATGTGGTTCAAGCTGCAGTCTCGTAAAATTTCCAGGCCATGTCGTTTTGATTAATAGTGAGTAATTATATTAATATTTGTACGAACTACTCGATTTTAAAATAATGTTTGAACAGTAACATAATTTGTCACGCACAACAATTATTAGGTGCACCAATAAGTATTCACTGTTTCTTTTTAATTAACTGTTGGTACTTTAAATTCAAAGCAACTTTCTACCCTCTTCGTCTTCAAAAATGATACCCGAAGAGCTTCGAAATATGAGAAGAAATATTATTGAAGTGGCCATAGGTTTCTGATTTCCTAGAGAAAAAAATATTGAATTTGACTAGATATAAATGAAGTACTTATTGTTACTCCTGGTATCCTCAATTTCATTGAATTTCCTTAAAGTTTGTTTTGTTTTTAAAATGAATTAGTCTCACGTGAGACAATAAAATTATCGTTTAATAAAGTTACTAATGTGCACAATTTTTCCATACTTTTCATATGTTTAACCCTCATCAATCTCTCCTTTTTCCACTGAACTTATCCCTCGGTGTCAAATTGAAACACTGGTAAAAAATTGATACATTAAAGAGATAAATAGTTAAATTTGCAAGTTCTTTAAAAAAAGTCCCAGAGCATCAGCTAAATTTACCAACACACGATAAAATAACATCCCTTCTTAAGACAGAAATGTGTGAAATTGACACAAGGGACGGATGAGAGTTAACATAATAATAATTTACACGGTCACTCCGCAAGAAACTCAATAAACAGACAAATAACCTATAAGTATCTGCATTACACATAATTCAATAAAACCTATTCGAATACATACTTCTAAATCCATAAAAATTACACAAGTCTAAAGGACTTACATATCAAATCAGCTGCATCAATATGCTCAGACATCCCACGAGAAAAAAAAACGGTCCGTTTGCTCCTTCATCCATCCATCGCGACGATACATACGAAAAGAGCGACGGCGACGATTTTCTAAACGCGTTCTCGCGACAAATACAAATTCCCCTCGCTGGGGAACACACATCTCATCCCCGTTGACAATCGATCGGTCCCAATGGCCGTAGGAACGACGTTCGAAACCGGTACCCAACCAGTCCATGAAACCTATTCGCCATGTGACACCAAACGGAGATCGGTATCGTATCGAAAACACGGAAAGCTTCTGCCGATTATTATTCCCTGTTCTAATTAATTCGTCGATAATCCTCGACAGATATATTTCCTTCTTTTTTTTTTTTATCGTTTCGCGACACTGTATTCACGCCTTCTTCGACGTGTTCAGATCAAGAGTTAAATCGGTTGCATTCTATCTCTTTCTCTCTCGGGTTTATTTAAAGCGGCTCGTCAGTGGACGAATCGAGTTCCCTGAACCGTGAACCTCGTCTCCTCTGTCTTTCTTTCTCGTATTTTTCTTTTAAGCCTTGTGTGTCGCTCGTGTTCGTGTTATCCCGTGGGAGAGATGTGATCGGCACCGTGTTTCGTTCGGAACAAAAAAAAGTGAAACGCCTGGCGAGCGCGGCCACGTGCCCCCCCCCCCTTGGCCACCGTTTCAGACGATGTTGTGCGAGATGGAGCCATCGTCCTGCCACGTGTTGGCTGGAAAGAAGAAGTCATCTTTTCAAATTCTCATCGAGATAATCCCTTCACGAGATGGTAAGAAGTGTAGGGGCTCCGCGAGCCTGGATAATGTCCTGGGTTACCTTTATAATGCATGTCCTGCGCCATCGATGGACACTTCGCGTCCGGCTGCTATTTTGAACAATAAGAGAACAGTGAGTTAGAGGGGATTTTTGATGGTCTAGATCAGTGATGGCGATTCTTTTTGAGAAGTGGGTCAAATTTTATTCATTATTTTTTTTAATACTAGCCCGTGGGTCACTAAGTCAGTGGCGTCACTTGGAAAGAGGAGGTGGGTGGTAAAAAGGGTAATAGTTTCGATTGTCTGTTCTCTCTTTTATGATATAAAAAATAAGTTTATAAAAATGTGTCTGATCCGTGGGTCATAGGTTCGCCTCCACTGGTCTATTTAATATAATAAATTATTTAGTAAAATAATTAATTTTATAACTTTTATAATTATTCCATACTTTTCAATTTATTCATTATTTTCATTTCTTGAAAAATCACTCTCAAAATCAAATCTTTACTGTAATAATTTCTATTTAAATTACCACCGGCAGGCTAAAAATTGTTAACCAAGCCTGTATCATTGACGAAAAGTTACCGTGGCCGAAAATTACTGGGGAAGAATGGCAATTCACCTTGCGGAAATCGATATTTGTCCGTATAGTCCTGAAATGAAGTTCCTGGAGCGGCCTCGAATTGTTTCCCAGTGGTGCCTTTGGAGCTTCCTCGGGACCTTGCCATAGTTTCCTCAGTGCGTAAAGCTAGAAATGGGATTAGGATTACGTTGTAACGATCCCGTTCCCTCGTTCAATATTTAACTGTGAAGCAGAGCTTGTTAAGTAATGGCGGAGGGATAAATACAAGAATAGCCCGGCCCGAGTAACTCGATCCCGGAATAATATACTTAACCCCTCAATGTTTCACAACAGACTCTAGTTTAGAAAACAAAAACGGACACATTAAACTCGACATTATTTTGCTAGTAATTCTGTAACATTAAATTAATGCCAACTGGTACTAGCTTACGTATAATTTTTCTGTTATGGTACCAAGTGTGAGTATACAGTAAATTCTCTGTGAGCGTTCAAAGGCTCCTCGATACTGAACATTAAATATTTTATAAACTAATGGCCATACGCAGCTGCAATAAATATCATTGGCTTCAGAATTCCAGGCTCTACCAAAATGCTAACCTTATTAAAAAGTCAGTGTTACATTTGGGGACATCTTTTTGTCAGTACCAAGGAAGCTTGGAACACTTATCGAGGATCTACTGTATTTAGAAGAAATTAGCGCGCTTACTTCTTTCGCGGTAATGTAAATGGGTTTGTTGAGGATCAACCACACTGCTGTCTCCCAACAACCGGGATGAGTCGTGCTACCCTCGTAGGTCATGTAACCGTCCGTGTCTGGGAGGAGATTCTTCAGGGACAGGTGACGGATGGGTGCTTTCTTACCTGCACAGAAAATAAAACAATTTTTATCATCAGTAATTATTATCATTGGTCATCTAATAAATTGTTAGTATAGAAAATCAAGATTAAATTATTACGATGTTTCGGAAAATATTGTCACTTTCATTTGTACTATTTTTGTTTTATAAACCATAGAGATAGAATCACTCATCATGTGGATATTGGATATTTTGACAGGAACTATATTTTGTTAATTCTCGACTGAAACAGTCGGCCACTGGTGAAAGTTACTCGTGAAACTAGCCCAGTCATTATAGTGTTAATCTATCTAGACCCATTATAATAATGTCATACGTATGCAATGAAACAGCAAGTATTTCCTAAATTTTCATTTAATTTTATATGCAATCCTATTTCTAAGTAGTATTATCGAAATAAAGTAGAATGAACGAAAGTGTTGCAGTACACGTTGAAGAGAATAAATGATAAAGTGTATCTAAACAAAGTTTATAATGCAATCCGTATGATTGCTAAAACTTCTAATAAATAAAATTTATATATTGTACAAGGTAAGTTTAAAATGCATATTTCCCGTACTCAAGATTTAATAAATTAAAATTTCGAATGTACAGTATTTTTGGGGTATTCCAACTAACTCATGAGATCCGTACACTTCTACTGATTATGTTTATGATACTACAATTGTTGGATATTTTATCATAAAAGTTAATGTCACCAGTCATCGATGACCACACGATGAATAAAATAGTGTACATTAGTAAAAAATACGATAAATTTTATACAATCTGAACAAATGAAGAGAGTCATGATCGATCACCATCGATCGCGCCTAAAAGTCGAATGGGGAAGGGACGTATCCTCTGGATTCAATGTTATTTGCATGCTAAACGATGAAAATCCGTCGTATCCCCCTTATTCTGGCAACGGAACGCTGCGTTGCATATTCAGGAACGTTATTTCGAACGCGACAAAATTACTCGATATTCCGGGAATACTCTTTGAACTCTCGAGTCGTGAAACAGGCAGCTTGGAAAAAAACGGGGATGGAACCGGGGCAACGAGAAAGGAAATCGAGGCTGAAAGGTGGTGACGCGCGCTGATTGGATCTGTATAAATACACGTAACACCTAGGGCCAGAAACTTCAGACATTCCGTTATATTTATCCAAAATCTGATGTGGAAGGTGACGTTCAAAATCCTGGGACGACTGTGGCTGAGAATTTCAGAACTCGTAAAATTAACTTGAATTTCGATGAAAATCGTTTTCTTCGTTCCCGAGATAATCGAATTTAAAAATCTACTGGATACGCGTGCAATTATCGAATGACTTGGCTAACGGGTCTGTTCATGACAATCCGTTTCTACTTATTGTCACCACGAATGGGCGCATATTCGATGAAATTTCCAAGTGGATTATTTCAAATACGAAGCCTCGTACGAACAAAATTTATTCCTCTTATTCAACTTATTTTTTACTACCCTACCCCGTATATTAAATGTTATATACAACATTCGTTATCCAATTTGTAATAAAAATTAATTAAACGTTACTGGATTACGAAGAGTATCACTCAGTATTCCACACGAATTATTAAAATAAATAATTCTTCATCTAATCGATAGAAAAAAAACCTTCTTTGCAACACACATCCCGATCGAAAGTCTGAATACTTAATGCATCGAGCTTCATATCCCGTCGAATTACTCCAATATCTGTCGAATCGGTAAGGGTCACGTTCCAACGTTTTGTAAAATATCGAAACCCTCGCCAATTCAATTCCGTGGACGTCTCAGTCTATCGTCTGCTCCCGTGGATCGGAACAATAATACACCATCTGGTACCTGCTCCGCGGGTTATTGTTCCGGCTCCCGAACCCCGTTAAGTCGACGGGTATAACCACGGGTTTCTGTTTACAGCTCGTCTGACAAGCGGCATCAATTTGTTATTGGCCAACCCTTCCACCCCCCTGTACGACACGCCTGGCTGAGATTTATATACCACGTAACCCCGTGGAATTATGGCCTTATATGCACCGTTTCCTTCCATATATAGGTATGGGTTACGGTACGAAAGACACAAATCATCCATAGATGTGCGGCAGTTATGAACGACGCACGTCGAGCGTAAGGACGGTGTGTGTGTTCGAACACGCGTTCCAAAGAGCACTTGAAAAGAGTGCCACCTTCCACTCCTGCCACAATATTCCAGGCAGCTCATGATTTCTAACTTTCCCAACCACTCGTAATTTACCTCCTAAGTATGTACCGTGAAATCGAGAAGAAGCGGTTCGAGACGCGACTTTGGACCGTTTATACCCGTTCACTGCATCTTTTTGGTGGCTTGTACAAAATTTTGTTTCACAAAATGATGAACATGTAGTCATTTTAAGACTGTCCAAGAGACTTTTAATTTTGTCCTTTCTATAAACAACGTGTTTGTTTACGATAAATAACGACACTAATAATATATTAACCTTAGACACCGGTGGCAGAGTCCATTTTGACCCAAGACCTCAGTAGATTTACGCATCATTTCAGGTTATAGAAACTAACTGAAAGGTGTAGTTGTTCAGATCAGATACGTTTTGATAGAATATCAGCATACCTCGAGGAAAATTGTTCCAAAAGGAATGTAAAAACGGATGAGTAGAGATCTATCTAGATCCAAATAATGCCGTGAATTTGATCATCAAAACCGTCCGTCTCTGTAGGGTTAAAGTTATATATGTATACTAACTAAAAAGGACAGTTATTCAGATTTGCCTTTTGTGAGAAGACCAGCATACTTTGAGGAAAATTGTTCCAAAATACATTTAAAAACTGATAGCGTAGGGGTCTACTTGGACCCAAATGCCATCACCTATTTGATCATCAAAACCGTCCACCTTCCAAGGGTTAAAATTACAAAAGATTCTTTTTTCATTAAAGGTTAAGATGAATAAGCTAGAAGGAATTAACAATAACAAAAAGACAATGTACTATGTGTCCCCAAATTCCATCTTATCGTTGTCCAACTACCTATATTTGTTCAAGGATCTTTCCCAGCTTCCAAACTATTATCATATTCCTAAACCCTCATTCTAACCAGAACGACTAGAAACTCATTAATCACACCACAAACCAGTTCTCCAATTATATAATTAATCCATTAGGACCACTCCGGTACCCAAAAGCTCTCCCTCATCCCTTCTCACGACTCGTCGACTATTTCTTCCCATTAATCACAAGACACCGTATATTCCTTTGATTCACCGGGATAGTTGTCATTTCCCGTTCGTTATTTATCATCCCGTTCCCCGACGAATTCTTGGCTGGTAGACGAAGGAAATCGGGGACAGACGATAAATAAAACTAAAGAGGATGCGTCACCCTCGACGCGTGCGGGAATCCAATCGCGTCGGGCCAACATCGAGAAATAGGGGACAAAAAGGAGAGAGAGCTGGCACGAGGTCTACGTAGAAGGGTCTCGCGAATAAAAGCTTGACGGCTCCTCCGCCCGCTCTTTCTGCCCTCTAAGTGGCCTGAATGCTGTCCTAAAAATGTTCTCCCCCTCGCCAAGGAAGACGAGAACAAGCCGGAAGGGTGAGAGAACCTGGGCGCATTTATCCCCTGTGTCAGGCGTCCGCCATTCGCTGGCGCACGACTCGCTTCTCCTTAATGTCACGGGCTCGATACGAGAAATGGCTGGCTAGCGTCGCGACGTCGCGACGGATATACACACCCTTCCTCCCCCTTCTTACGTGGGGATAGCGGCTTTTCAGGGAACGAGTCACATTCGAATCCCATCCTCTTGGACGATTTTTATTAAGGCACGATTAACGACGTTCCACGCGAACCTTTCTATGCTGGATCATGTGCCTCGTTTTACTAGTGGACGGTGAACCAGCGATTAACCCTTTAACTCTTTAGGGTTAGGTCGGTTAAAAACTGTCCCACCTTTCGCTTAGCTTTTTATGGATGGTGGGATATATTTTAACCCACCTCGAATAGTTGAAGTTATTCATAGTCACACAGTTTAATATTTTATTTTTATATAATTTTTTTTATGTTAAAAACAATTCTGTGTAACTGGGGTTTTTATTTTTTTTAAGATCGTGTGTCTCAAAGAGTTAACGCCCAGACCCTTAACCCCTTGCCTCACAAATCACAAATCATTTTGCTTGACTAATTTCTGTTAACCTTCTCAGACCCACTGCAGATTTTACGCCTTTTTTGCAATCGATTTGTACATTGCAATGTTTGTCGATGCTGTATTTTCTAAAAATAAATACTGAAAAAAAATATTTTCCTGCCCATTTGATGTCCCAAATAAATGAATTCCACAAACAAATATTTCGATTACCGAACTCACACACATATGGTTTTAATATACAGGGTGTCCCAAAATAGCTTCGACTCCCGGAAAAAATTTTGATTGGTCGGCGTTTTTCGTTAATATCTCGTTAACAAAACTTCGGTCAACATTTTCGCCAAGGAAGAACTGGTTTCAAATTGGCTCACAAGTTTCCCATTTCTGGGAAAACATTTTTGTTACACCCTGTATACACTGTTCTCTGTATCCCGTCCGATCTAACAAGTCACCCCTCCCGTCTGTCCGACAAACATTCACCGAGCTCTCGCCTCAGCAAACCCGAGAAGCACCGCAAGTGGAAAGCGTCATATTTTATTTGTATTGATAGCTACCGCCGTGGTTTTCCATCAGTGGCTGGTGAACAACGGGGAAGAAAGGACACCGTACAGAGGCGGAAGAGCAAAGCAGACGGGAGAGAAGGAGACGAATCCGGGTGGGGATGGTGACAAATAATAATAAAGAGGCGTCGTGGATGAAAAAGCATCCGGTGTGGTGGTAAAGTGGAGTGGAATCGAGAGGGAAAGGAGAGCACGGAGGGTCCTCTTGTGATTAATGAAATGCATTAACTCCTGCATGGAGAAAGAGGAAAAAGTGCTGGGGAAACGGATCATGATACGCTTCGTTCTGTTGGTCCAGGTATAGTTCTAATGATTCTTGCCGTTTGAGACAG